ATTTGGTCCAGTTTACCCGGTCAAATGCCTTCTGCCAGTCTATGAAGCAAACACACAGTTCTTCATCTATCTCCAAAGTTCGTTCCGCTATAATTCTCATCATCCCAATTGCATCCCTGGTTCCTTTTCCTCTTCTAAATCCAAACTGATCTTCTCCAAGTACATCCTCTATTTTCCTTTCAATTCTTCTTTTAAGTATCTTTGCTATTATCTTTGCTGTATGTGCAATAAGACTTATTGTGCGATGGTCGCTGCATTTTGTAGCTTTTGTCTTTTTCTTTAAAACATTAAACATATAAAGATAAAATAACTTATGAACTGTAAACACATTCAACTTTTCGTTAGGTAAACCTGACAAGATCACTCTCAACAACTTATTTTCAAATGGTAATTTTCAGAACATTCCCTTCAACAATTCTTGATCCCAATGTCAAGGCAGTGAAAAAATTTCTTGCTTACAAGTGAAAACCAAATATATTTAGTTCAGGAAGAAGTTAGTTCAGTGTCTGTTTAAAGATGACAGCGCCATATTTTAACATAAAGTGACATACTCTGCTGGTGCCCACTAAAATTAGAATCTTGGAGCAACTGGCCAGAGAACTTTTTCATGTCAATGTTGCAGGAAATTCTTTCTCTGTGAATTTGTGTTAGGTATATTCTATTACTACTGCTGTCTTGGTGAGATAAGCCAAGTGGTGATATTATCACCGCTGGATATACATGTATATTTTGTATATTCATTAACAGCTTTTGTTCACTGAGGTAAATTGTGTGGGGTATTTTGTCACCAAGACCTGCAACTGAGAAGGTAAAATGCCACTACTAAAATTCATTCCTAGGAATGGGACTACTTGGCTTTTTAATTGAAGTCTTTTGTGATTTTCTTCAGCTCTATGAACAAAAACTGAGGGGGTAACATCACAGAAACAAATGTCTTTATTAATCAGTTCACAACATGTTTCAGCACAGATTAGGCCATCATCAGGTGATTTGTTTGCCTGATGGAAACTCCTCCATTTTAATGCATAAACACTACAGACACAATACAATACTGCAAGGTTCTTTAGTCCCTCTGGAGAAATTCTGGGATATTTCCTTAAAATAGGCCACTACAACTTTTCACATATTTTCCAATCATTATTGAACACCATCCTGTCACTAAATGTTCTATGAACTATGCAACTAAGAAAACACTATTTAAAACTAAGAAAAGAATTAGGAACGAGCAATGAGGAGTATCTCACCAGTATATCAAAAATATCCCTTTGGTGTACATGAATGGTGATGAGAGTTTCAAATTTGGTACGTTCAATTTTTGTGAGGTCTCTAGTAGTCTGGTCAATAAGCGTGTTGAGGAGTTCTAGGAACTTGTTGTTGGTATCAAACATTATCTTTTTGTCTGCCCGAGCCTGCATCAGCGCAGCTTCTCCATCTCGAGTCCAGATCATCTGAATGCCCAAAATGCCAACCTAAAATAGGATACAAAAATTCTATTGTGTCCTTCAAGTGACTATCCAAATTTAAGTTATCTGTAGTTCTTCCCACTGCATCCAGGAAGATGTTAGTCATAGCTCTATCCTTCTACATATATAACAAGCTTGGTAGGCATGAGATATATCACTGTTATTATACAATTTTGGGTTACCACAACAACAAACTGTTAAGCGTCAACATGTCACATGAACGTAAGTGAAGTAGCAGGTCATGAACAAGTGAGTAGTCTTTTGTTTCAGTATATGTATATCTATATGTGTGTGTGTTTGTCAGGAAAAAATTCTATACACTCTACATGACAACACACTAGAAATAACTAATTTCATTAACTAATTAACAACTGACTGATTATCTCCATGGCACAGAGATTGTCTTGGAAACTTCATTATTAAGTAGCTAGCCACAGAATTGAATGCTCTTATAGAAACCAAAGGTTTATCAGCCATGGTCAGACAAGTCCACCCTTGTCCTCTGCACATAGCCAACTGAAGACAGTTCAACCCTTCACATTTAATTTTCCTCCGATCTATGCATAGGTCTCTAAAGTGGTCTCTGTCCTGAGGATTTTTGTCAAAAATTTTGTAGTTAGATCTTATAAAAAGCCAGAACCATCAGAAATAAGATCCCTTTCAGGGTGCATAATAAATGCTTTTTGATGTTCTACATTCTTTAGTATCCTTCCTTATGAGAATATCTCAGCCATTGGAAACTAATCCTTATGTAGTATACTTGCAGAAAAACATGAATAGCTTATGTTTCAATTATATAATGCACTGGAAAACAGACATATTATGTCTTCAGGCCCATTTTCCAGTAACCATTTTAAACTATCCTGGTTTTGTCCTACATCTCCTGCCTCTGAAAAATATTTCTTTTAAATTTTATGGTAAAAATTCTTTCACTTTCTTAAATATCTCTAAAGATGATTGCAAGGAAGTGATTTGTATCTCAGTATGCTGATGAGTTGAATGCGAATATCATCTATAAACAAACATAAGTACTGAGTGCATAACAGTACTCGGAAATACAATAAACTCTCTTGAAGTACAAAGGTGCCATATGAGTAAAGATAATTTTATATGACATTAATATGTACATTCTCTAGATAAGATTAAGTGGTATGTTAGGCAGCAAAATTAAACTCTAACATAGATATGATTAAGGTAAAATTGCTCCTGTGTTTAAGCAAAGCACCATACAGATGTATAGGGAAATGGCGGTAGAATGCCATGCATTCCTAACTTCATCATCAGGTGGAGAATTCAGCGTCACATTTCAGATGTTCTGTTTCTGGTATGTAATGGATAGGAGGTGGTTACAATATGGTGCAATGATAAAATTCCTTGCTTCTTCCTGAAACTGAGCCCCAATCATCCAGCTCATAAATAGTCACTATAGAGATTGAGCTACCCAGCTCAATGTAAAAATGAACAACTTACTCACTGCAGAAGTCTTTCCTGAAAAGCTAACAGTTGATCAGTTGGAAACTTCTCATCTTTTACAGAACCCATAAGGTTCATTACCATATTCAAAAGAGCCTGCCACTTGTTCCCATCCTGATGAATCCATTTCATATCCTCATACCCTATTCCTTTACTATCCAATTTAATATTACACTATCATCTATGCCCTGATCTCCCAAGAAATGTGTACACACATATATAATTATGATGTACCACCATATATAAGAGAAGCATGTTTTAAGCACTGATAAACTTTGTTTTTTGCGTTCACCTGAGCCGGTATCTTATCAAGGAATAATAACAGGTTAAAGTTGAGATCGTTGATCATAATGAAAGCTTGTCTGATGATTGCATGAAGAGACTGTTGAGACGTCTGCAGCAGGGAGGTTAGCCATGTCTCCACACTGCCCTCAGCACGCACTGCCCGCTCCAGCTTATCAACACAAAGGATTGTCTACATTAATAATAAGCTGTGGTATACTGATTGTTGGTTATGCCCATGTGGCCCTTAGATATTTTGATAAACATGCAACTTATTTATTATTTGTTTCTGTAAAACAACTGTTACCCAGCTTACATCACCTAGCTGATAAAAACTGGCATAAAACACAATAGGAAGACGTTTCTCTTCAAACTTCTTTAAAAATTAATCTTTGGTAAAACATCCCTTAAATTCTTGATCATGTACATTCATATTTGAATATGCATAATTTTACTGTGAGTGCAAAATAGTGCAAATAAATGTTAACATCAAGAACAGAATTTCTGGTACAAAGACAACCCCATCCAGTGTGACTATTTAATTTTTATCACTTGAAAACTCATCACCCTTACATGTTTCAATCCCGAGGGATCATCCTTAGAGGGCATCAATACTTTTTCCAGAAACTACTATTACAATAGATGTTAAATTATATACATACACATATAATGGCTGAAATACATAATGTACACAATGTTCAGCTTTTCACAGTCACAGCAGCCTTCCTGGTATTAAAATTTTTAAAGTTTTTTAAAAACTTTGTTGTATAAGATTAAAATTTATAAACCATGTAGGTTCGTGTCAATTCTCCTATTGTCTTTCTTGGAGGGGGCTGAACTTGTGCCGCCTGTCTATCTTGAGAAAGGAGAGTCTTAGTATTGTATGTGTTGTTCGTGGCTTGCTATGTTGTTTGAGTGTAAACAACGCAGCAAGCCAATTTTCTTAATATTAATCATTAATTACTTTTCTTAATATTAATTATTAATTAATTAATTAATGATAATAATTCTAAATATTAATTTTCTTAATAGAAATGTGTGAACAGGTAGAATTGTATCTCTTTCCACAAATGGCTACAGCAGCAAACTAATCAGTGTGAGAAAACTGTAATAAGAGGTAGACCACAGGTCATTTATTTATAAGTAGTGCACAAATCTTCTCACACTGTATGAATCTACATTTTGAACATGATCCTGAGAGTGCCACAGCCAGTATAAATCAACATACTGCAGACTCACCAGAATAGTCTCACCCTCTGAAGAAATTATGGCTGTCATCTTATTGTACTCAATATCATGGAACTTGACGAAGCGAGTATTGTCAAAGATGGACAACAAGTGGTTCTGAATTGTGTGGGCATCTGAAGCCTGACCTAATATTTCCAGTAATGCAGGGTCTGATACAAAGAAGAACCTAGGGAACATTGTGCGCTTTTTCTCAAGATATCTGTAACAAATCAAGTTAAGATTATACTAGGAACTGATATACAGTAAAATGTCGGTCTAGTAAAATTGAAAAAGCTGTGGGTCTGGAGGCACAGAACAGTATTTTACTTCTGAGCAGAAGACTGTTCTCCAATGGAAGGAAATTGCATTTAACATGCATAAAATAACCACGAAATAAAACTTCTTTTTTTATAAATTTAGCTGACATGCTGAACATAAATTACTATTTATTTCTTAGTTTATTTAACAACGTTTTTTTCAGATACATAAGCCACATGACACTGAATTGAGAAATGAATGTGAAAATGAAAACAGGTTCAAGGAAGAAGTTAATATAAAGTTTGTTTGAAATGCCTCAGTCAGAATAGCTAGTAATCTGGTTTATATTTGAAGTCTAGGGAATTAACACTGTGACAACTTATATTCAGTATATGAGTATACAGTATTAAAGAGTAATCAACTGATTTTTAACCCATTTACTGATACAATTTCAACTGTAGATGTTACATAATACTGAAAGAAAGGAATATAATCATGCATGGTGAATAGGTAATGATTTGACAGGAAGCAGTAATTGACTCTTTTAAGATATTATCACAACATTTGCTGCAGAGACTAACACCCTCCTCCCCCCAAAAAGAACTCGTGTAATGCATCTGGTAAACGAGCTAAGATTAGAACTGGATACCTCTGAATAAAAGCTTAGAATGTTAACACTATCACCATCCCATTCAGTAAGTAACACTTACCCACTGAGAGACTTCTGACACAGTTCTAGTTGTTCTTGTAAATGAGGAAGCAATTGCTTCAATAAATCATCACCAACACAGCAAGATACAACACCTGGTGTTTCATGGGCTCGCTGCATAATCTTCTGCCATGATTTGTCAATCTTGCTAAATCTGAACAAACACCATACAATAGCTGCTGTTGCATTACATACTGAAACTGAGCATTCTCTCTCCAGTTACCTTTATGTGATTTCTTAATTAGCTTCCATAAACCATGTTTTCATTTCAATATATTGCTGTTCCTAACATAATTTTTGAGTATCATATGCACTAAGGCCACACCATAGCTCAAGCGGTTAGTTGCTGGCGTCCCATCATGGCAGCCCGGATTCGATCCCGGGTCTGGTCAAGTGGGATTTGTGGTTGACAAAGTGGCGCCGTGGCGGGTTTTCTCCAAGTACTTCGAATTCCCCTGCCAATGTTCATTCCACCAAATTCTCCATCATCATAATCACCCAGGGCAGGCTACAATAGGCCAATCAGTGGCCGCTGTGCCAAGTGGACCCAGTTGGATTCCACCCCCCACTAAGCGAATCATATGCACTAGTGTATTAGAGACTTTTTCCTCATTCAAGAATGGTTCCTAGAATCAGCCTGTGTCTCTTATAATAAAGGTTTATGACGTCAATACTTGAATTTTCAAATCATAGACTCTTTTACATGCTAGTGTCTTGATGTTAGCAAAAATTGTTCTGGAAGTCATCAACATACATGGCAGTAGCTCAACTCAAGGGCCAAATCTGTAGCCATGTTATCAGATGAAGCAGATTTCACTACTGTTTTAACCAATAAAGGGGTAAGTAAGTAAAAGTAAGGTATCCCTGTAACAGGCCATGGAGGCCCATAGGGTTGTGAGAAGTTGAGGTTCCCACATTTTCTAGACAATCGGGTTGCATATGGCGACAAGGTTGTCAGCCTTACGCGCCAGCCGCCCTTTACCCCCGAGAACATTCCAAGAATATTCCTGGTTCTCATTTCTATTAGAGGCTTAGTTGACCCAAGGGCCATAGTGCGGCTAGAAGGATTAGGTAAATTGGAAAAAAACAATGACCTCATCGGTATTCAATCCCGCAACCTTCCGGCGTGTAGCATAGTGCCTCAACCAACTATGCTACCATGTTCCCCAACTAATAAAGAGGTAGGTAAATAAAAATAGATGGACTGATGGAAAGGCTCATAAACATGACTGAAATTATTCCTAATGACCGAGCATTACAGACATTTACATATTAATGAGAAATATTATGACACATTGTTTTCTGTACAAAACAAATAAGACCTAGAAGTATAAAATTAATGGCTTCTCATGGTTCTTGTTCAAAAGTTACTACAATATTTGAGATGTTTGGCAAGACAGCATAAGTTAAACATGTTTTTACATATCCTCCAACGCATCTAACTGAGAATCTTATTTTGAATATAAATTTTTTGTATGTACTGAAGACTGAGTCCCGTGTAACAGCATAGATGCTGCAATTTTAACTTACTCTATTCATAACCATTAAGTTTAAAAACTTCCTGACAAAACTGGTCACTGTTACTTCTAAAATGTATAATAAGCATAAAGTTGATGATAAAGTTAAAGAGATCAGAATATGTGGGAAGAGGTGGCAAGATCATGTAGAGAGATAGGGTAAAGACAGGTATCTCAGGACATCATGGGATTACGTACTTACAGGACAAAGAGGAAGAGTAAGAAAAGAGGAATATAAATAAATTGGATTTTTAGGTTTGAGTAGGCATTAAAATATTTGATTTACAAAGAGAAAATGAGGAGAAAGAAGAATATGAAAAGTTACCTCTTTGCCTCCTTGGGAAGCTGTTTGGCAATGTCACCACCCACAAATACTGCTTCCAAATATACCCACAGATTCTGCACAAGAAGCCAACGCTCCAAAATCTCATTGGTATTTCCCAAGTCTGTTACCCATTGCTGGATCTGTTTGCGGAAAGGTGGATTGTACCTGATACACAACAATCATACTGTTATATAATTACATTATTGATATTGTGTATGTCCCATGTCAACTCTCCAAAATACATTAAGTATTAAGATAATCTTTGTGATAAAATGATACTGAAATTCAGTCATCCATCAGCTTGAACATTTTCAAGGTTATTTCATCATCAATCAAGTAAGAGATATGTAAAGGGAAAGATGATAAGGTAATGATACTTAGAGTAACAGAGAGTGAAGATATGTATTTAAACTGTCATGGGAGTATTTTCTTCATGCCCTGTCACATACAAAATTTCAAAGAATGATTTAGTGATTAAGTACAAGCTTTAGTTAATGGTCTCTACAGAGTAGGCAGCACCTTTTTCTACCAGCAGTCTGAGAAAGAATGAGTCTAAAAAATTCCATGTATCTCTTTTATCCACACAATGTACAGGTATGCCAAAGAAAATACTGCACTGGATTTAGGCTCAGGATGGTTTTCAATGGGTAGTATTTGTAAGCATGGTCATAGTCTTACATGTTCCTGCTGAATAAATACCACCTACTCAAGGAAGATCCTATACTATGGGATTGGCTATAAATAAATAAAAATTGACTGATTTTAAAGGTGAAGTTAATAAAAAATGTCCATTTAAACATAACAGCACAAAGAAAAGTATTTGTTTCACATATTTATCTTTTCAATATATCATTATGAATGGTTATACATTATTATAAATATTTGCAAGAGTAAAACCTTATCTTTTTTCCAATTTTGCATTTCGTTTAACCATTCTGGTACTACAGCACTGAAAATATTATCCATTTGGTTCATTTACTACACTGCAGTTTCAAGATCTCTGTGAGAGTGTTATACACTGCATAGCATTGCAAATTACAGTCATCTGGGATGTGACACCATGTGGTCTGGTAGATGTTTACTGATGCATCAAGAGAGTAAGAGCAAGCTGAGCATGAAAGTGGCACAGATGGACAGAAAGGGACAGGGGTCCTGAGTGAACCAAAAGAAGTAAGGTGACTGGTGTAAAGGTTCCCCTGAAACGCTGGTAAATATCTGCCACACTAAATAGCTTCAGATCCAAGTAAACAGTAATCTTCATAGTCACAGGGCCCAGTGGCAGTCTCTTATGAACATGGTAATGAAACTTCATGTTCCATATAATTCAGGAAATTTCTTGATTACTTCAGAAAATACCATTTTCTCAAGAAGGATTCTGCTCCATGTAGTTAGTTAGGTATTCATGTTATGAGAACATAAAACAGAATACCTGTTTGACATGAGTGAACCAAGTATCATAAGACTATCTTCCAGCTGACCAATAGTCTCAGCAGTGGTATCACCTCTAAGGAGCAGTTCTCCACGGTTATTAAATGTTTGGAATGTCAATTCATGTACTGTCCATTCATTGGTCACTTGTCTCAGTTTAGCTTCAATGTCCTTCTCTTTCATGGCTGAGATACATATGTCCTATGAACAAACACACAGGACACTCAGTGTAATCTTAGAAGACAAGATATGTAATATGGCAGGTAACATATATTAAGCAGCCCCCTGCCACTGTTTATTTCTGAACAAACATTGCTGCTGAGTGGTGAACACTCTGGTTTCATATTTAAAAGATCCTAGCCCAGCCTGTATACCAACTACCTTGGCTCTTTTACATAGTTTCCCTCAATTTAGGCAAATACTCATATAAGACTATAGATGGGGTTTGGATGGTAATTGGATTTATTGAACATTTAGAGAATGTAACTACAGGTAACTATAACACTATCACTAATTTACACACTATACAATTAATTTCAGCATGCACTAGATTATTTCAGTTTGCTGTGTCTTCACCAGTCATTGTCTGGTAACAGCTGCTAATGGCAGACGTTCCCCTTATTCTGATTTCCCAAACTACCCCCATGTGTCAGCTACCATCTGCTAACAGCAACAGCTCACAATGACTTATCTACAGTTCTCTGACTAACTCACTGATTAACCAACTCTTCACTTCCCTGCACTGCACTACACTAACTAAATCTCTTACTAATTGTTCTGCTTATAATATCTTGGCATGGACCACACACAGAACACTGTTCCTCTGTTGCTGTTCAATTGTTACTTAATAGATTTCACAGAAAACACCGTTCCTCTGATGCTGTTCATTGGTGCATGTTAGGAATCTGTTGCCAAGCAGCAGATTTTGTTTAGAGAGTCATTACTTAGCAATGGATCTACATGCTGCAATATTATAGAAGAGGCCAGGACCACTTTCTTCCAATCCTTCTTACTTCTCTCATGCAAACATTTAATTTCATTCAATGCTATATAAACTATGGAGTCAGTAAAGTCAATTTTAGCAATGGAAGTATTAATGTAGATCATAAGACGAAATTTTCCAGTGCAGTATATGTCACCTCAAAACTGAAAACGATTTCTTCAGTAAATACAAAATACAGATAAATACACTCAACTCTCGATTATCTGGGGGTGGATAACCCGGTTTGTGGCTTAACCAGGGCTACTGGGGCTTTTTTGAGGTTTATATGTTGTTTAATATTCATTCTCACTTTTGTTTCACATGGCGAGTTGTAACACTGCTTTCGCACTAGTGTGAACCAAGCTCTGCATTTTTTGGTCCAGTTATGCTAACACAATGTTCTAGGGTAGGGGTGAAAGAATGCAAGGATTTGTGAAAAGTTTCAAGGACACATACACGCCCCAGTTAGTCTCTTTATATCGATCTTCAAGTGCGTTAGCAAAATGTCAGGGTGTAAAAGGAAGCGTGTTGTGTTAAGTATTCAACAGAAACTTCTGTGAGCCAGGCTTCAAAATGTTAAGCGGTGACGAAATCGTAAGTTCAGTGGGGTGCAGCCAGAAGAGCAGGAAGAAAGTGAGAATGAGGAAGAGGTGGACAGTGCTTCTAGTAAGAAAATATCACATGGTGCTGCTCTTAATCATGTGGAATCCTTATTGGACTATCTTGAGAGTGAAGAGAACAGTTTATTAAGTGACAAGCTAATATTATGTAGGCTTCGTATGGATATCCGTAAAAAGGACAATGCCACAAAAAAGCAAACGACAATATTACATTTTTTTAAGCGTTAAGTGTGAATATTCGTAAAAAGTGTTGGATGTCGTTGAACGCTGTGATTGAAATAACTAATTCATACTTCAGTGTAATGTAAAAAGAGTATTAAATAGGCCATGAGATGACATAAAAATGAGGTTGAATAAATTTAAACACAGGTAGGCCTATAGTATTATGAAGGTACAGTATTACAGTACTACTTTTAATAAAATTTGTCTTAACCGGGTTTTCGATTAATCGTGATTTCCATCCCTACCATTATCCTGAATAATCGAGAGTTGAGTGTACAATATTGTAAAGAATGCAGAATTTAAAATTTCTATATTAGTGCTGACTCTTGCAGTGCTATTTCTTATTAAAATGAAAGAAATCATTGAAAAAACAATGGAAACTTTAGTAAATATTTTCCAATTCTTATGTGAACCTAGAAATATAAATTTCATAGAGTCTCAATGAGTGGAATGATGTTTCATGTAGTAGAATTTTCCACACAAAAAACAGCCACAGCAGTACTATCTCACCTCAATATCTTCTTTGTGTTTGAGCAATGGAGCTTCAAGTATGTTCTTCAGACAGAAGTTTTCACTTTCTAAATCAAAGTTATGCTTCAGCACCTCCATGATGCGCTGCCAATGGCGTGGTTTCATTGCTTTGTTAGACATAAGTTCCAACAATGGACACATATCATTGAAGTCATCCACTGTTCGCTTCAGAGCATGGAATGCTGGCCATTCTTTTAAAGCTTTTGGTAGCTTTCGACACCTGCCAGTTAAATTCAGTCATGTCTCAATCATACAGTTCCTTATACAAATCTGAAAGTGATGTGAAACTTGGTCTTTAAGCCTAATGAAAGTACATAAACACATTGACTTGTTTGACTACAAAGTGCTGAGGAGATTATTTGGGCATAAAAAAGGTGAAAAAATGGGAAACTAATGAAAGAAATTGCTAGAATATCTGGAAATATACTGTGACGTATTTGCGCTATGCAGGACACCCCCTCCCCCGCCAGCGGTGACGTAACAACATCGGAGTGCTGTCGCTGCTAGAGTAACATACAGTAACAGGCCAGTCAACACTCCGCCCCTTGTCCCGCAGTGATGTAACAGCACTTCCCACTGTGATGTAACATGGAACAGCGCTGTTGACACAGGCAACAGGGAATGGTATAAAAAGCCGGCTGAGCAGTATGTGACCAGAGAGTGTGTGATCAGAGGGACACAGTGTGGGTCATGAAGTTGCCGAGTGCAGCAGAAGTCTAGCAGTCGCTGAGAGCAGTGGATGTAATTGTGATTCTGCCGATGGCAGTAATTGTGAACTGTGTGAGCGTAAGAGCCGAATATGGAATAAATTCCCTATATCCAATATGGCGTGAAGTTATTTGTCGCGTGACATACCCAAAACGTGACAATATGTAGCATGGATTTATGCTTCCAAATATACGAATTAATAATACCACATACCTATTTTGGAACTCCATGAGTTCATTGTTTATTTCTTCAATGTTGACCTCACCCCAAGGAATATCATAGTAACTGCTCACACGGTCAATGACATCATTGTAGAGTTTGTATAATTTCTGAAGTAGATTAAGTTCCTTGCGAATTGTACCTAGTTCGGGGTAGTCAGTTTGGGGCATTCCAAATAGTTCTTCCCCACTCTGGTATGTCTGCAGTTTGCGCCACATGCCATCAAACTGGTTCTGAAATAAGCGTTATATTCTTAAAATGATGGAAACAATTATTAATGCTATATCTTGTTTTCTAATGTCAGAAGTGACAAGAAATATTTGACTTTATCTTAGGAGTCGATTAAAAACCTCCTATTTCCTATCTCTGTGTTATTCTTTGGTACTTCTTATAAATTACATATTTAGAATAAAGAAATATTGGAATTAATGACCTGATCAGTATTTTATTTAATCACAGTACATGAGGTAAAACTGAGCTGGAATACCTAAGTACAATGCTGGTATAGGCTAAAGCAGTGCTGTACAACGTTCTTATGTACTCGGGCACAATTCACTGATTGCCTATGGAGGTGTGGGTGCCACCACACACTACTACTACTACTACTACTACTACTACTACTACTACTACTACTACTACTACTACTACTACTACTACTACTACTACTACTACTACTACTACTACTACTACTACTAATAATAATAATAATAATAATAATAAACAATAATAATAATAATAATAAATTTTTTAAAAAATATTTAACAGTACTCAGACATTCAAAAATGTCTCTTGTCTTACAATTTGAATTAATATTAAAAATCGGCTAAATTATATGTGGTTATGGAGGGCACCAGAAAAATATACCATGGGTGCTGCGTTGGACAGGGCTGGGCTAAAGGAATCAGATTCTACAGTTTCCAGCAGAAAACGGGATTCTTCTCATAGTCACCCTGGCTGAACCAACTCAAGAACCCAACCAGTCTCCCATCTAGAGGGTACAAAGGATAAAACGGACAGAATATGAAGCTGACCCATCACCTGCGTCCAGTGCCTCTCGCCTCTACTACATCATATATTGCCTCCATCTTCATTCCTGTTTCATACTTGGCTTATTCTTTGACATGGAAGATGGGGGCCATAAGTTCACCCAAAATATCTGTTGATTTTTAATGCACTATATGGTATTACATCCTGGATGATAGAACTCTTCGTAAGTACCTCAGTGGGAATTTTAAATCCTACAACATGATTTTCATATTTGGAAACTCTTTTATTTCATATGACCTATTGCATTAGCAGTCTTCAGCACAGTGTGGTTATGAAATGGAAAACAGATCTGTAGCCTAAAACATGTATAAATTCATTATATGCAAGACATCTTTGGTTGGTCTTGTTGTACTGTATGAGAATTATTTTTTTGTAGAAATCCTAGTTGTTAGATTTGAGATTGGCATGGCAGTGACTATGAAGAATAGTATCTTCTAGGACATTATGCCATGTAATCTGACAGCAGCTTACTAAAATTTCAGAGGGTAATACTCTCTCTAACTTCAGAGTTACCCCTAGAGATAAAAGCAGTATATACTTCTAAAACTTTAGTAAACTTCTGCCAGACTGTACAGCATCACATTCCAGAAGACAGTCTTCTTCATATTTGTTGTTTGTCTAGTGTTTCTGGATATGATCTGAAGGAAAGGAGTAGAACCCATTTTTGAAGTGCAGGCACCCACAGGAAAATTCTATTATCTCCAATGATGGAATGATAAGAATGAAAAACAGCAGAGGGAACTACATCTTAATCTGGGCTTCAAATAAGGAGGGGGAAGCAGCATTGTTCACATTCCCAAAGTTTTATCTTACTGATGAGATATGCTCTAATAATATCCTCCTACTAACATAAAAAAAACACACAAATTCTGTGGTTTCAGTCCGCAAGCGAACTATACCAAGCGAGTGACCACTGCTTGTTGGCGAAGTTAGTGCCAACTTCAGTGGATAAAGGGTGTCACATGGTCAGCACAACAAATCCTCACGGCTGTTAATTTCGGTTTTCTAGACTGGAGCTGCTATCTCCTTGAAATAGCTCCTCAATTATCATCATGAGACTGAGTGGACCCCATTCCAGACCCACTAGTTCTCAGAAAAAATCTTGTAGCGCCAGGAATCGAAACCGGACCTCGGGATCTGTAGCCAGGAACTCTAACCACTGGACCACAGAGGCGATCATTAACATCCACAAAACCTACAATAACTGCCAGTCACTAAACAAAGACTTGCATATTATAGTTTAGGCTTAACTTAATTTTCCCTAACCAGAAATATTTCAGTCTGCAGCACAACTTCTTTTACTGCATATGTTTTTTGTGATATCATTTTCAGTGACTTTTTTGTAGGTACACCCTGTTCACAATGTGAAACTGTCAAATATTCACAAATTGGGTGTTTTGAGACACATTTTCTAAGAAAGAGATTCCCCTTATTTGCAATTTTAGTAAATTGTTCTAGCACATACAAGATAAAACAAAATATACCTACATTCTTTTAAATTAACTATGAAGAAAACAAATTAACACCAGAAAAACAGCACGTATTAAAGTGTACTTAAATGCAGTTTTGAAGAGTTCTGTATTTTGGAATGTAATACCATGTAGTCCATTAAAGTCAACTGAGGTTTTGGAGGAACATATCACCTCCACCCTCAGTTTCAAAGAATAAGGTAAGCAAGAAACCAGCCTGGCCTTTCATGCTGGATTTTTGAGTGGCTTATTCTTTGAACCTGAAGATGAAGGTGACATGTTCCTCTGATATGTCAGTTGACTTTCAATGAACTACATGGCATTATATCTCACCAGATAGAACCCTTCACAAGCACCACTGTGAGAACCTGAAATCCTACAATGACATTTCTTCTACTGGAAATTAAGTGATAGGTTATTTAACAATACTGCTTTAAATGTAAGATTATAAACCTGTAGCAAAAACTACTATTGAAAATAAGAACGAATAGTGAGTAAGAAAAGATTTTAGAGGAGAAAGTAGCTTATTTGAAGACACTATCCCAACATTCATGTGGACTGACTGATTAAACCACAAAACCATGCATTCAAAATAACTGGTAAACCAACTGAGATTTAAACACAGTACCTCCAAAATACAAGTCTAGAGCTTTACTGCAACGCCAGTTTGCTTTGTCTACTACTGCAGATCAAGCAATAGTTAATAAGATATAATTTCTATCAGTGGTTTATTGATTTTCACTGCATGGTCTGGCTGATAAAATACTGTAAAATTTTGGAAATGAAAAACAAAGAGGATTACAAGTGAAGCAGTACAAGATAGAAGTTTTGTTAAATGTTGGCCCAACCTGGAAGAGCAAGAGTCTATCAGAGGCCTCACGTGGAGTAAGACCAGGCATCATTGGGCCAGAAGTACGATAATCATGACAGTACCGAATAGTATCGTGGTGGAAACTTTCCAAGTTACGGTGTAGATCATCTGCAAAGTGTGGCTGCAGGGACAGCAACAAACAATTTGTTTCCATAGCTCGAGCTATCAACTGCTGCCATGTGTAGCGCAAGTTGTCCACTTGCTCCAACTCTTCCCTGTCCACTGGCAACTCATATCTTGCCACAACATTGAAAGCCTCCTGTTAACAGTTTATTAGCAGGTTTAGTTCAGATTTATTTTATTTACAGCTTATTCAACAACACTGTCAGTGGCTCAGACTATACATCATTGAATGATAAGATGATTAAAGAGTCATGAATTGGTAACAATGTAAAAGGAAGTACATAGTTGTGTCATAATTTGATGTACTTGTCTACAAGTACCTAGGAAAACCATTCACAAAAAACATGTGAGCGCCATACATATAAAGTAGCATGAGGAAAGTGTGAGCGTACATTCTCGAATATGATGACATGCAATAACAGCATGTTAATAGTGACCTGTGGGCCCATGCAGTGTACTGATTTTCTTCAATAAATAGTTGCCTGATGATGGCCTCGTGAGGTCAAAACATGTAGCAACAAATGATTTTTAATGATATTTTATGAATTTTAATTGCAATTATAAGTGGCATTTAAAATAAAAAGTTGTGTTTGCATTTATAGATGGGAATGAGCGAATGAGACTTACATGTTCACAAATACAGAGTGGGGCGCAGAAACTTCCTTTTTGTGAAGACCCATTGTGAAGGTAAGGGAGGTTGCCGAAAAGTGGGGATAGGCTTGGTGAACGCAGCAGTCACGGAAGTTTCTGCCTAATACCCCTCAGCAGGAAACATGAGGTGGACGAGTGAGCAGCGTGCGTTTGCTGTCGAAGCCTATTTTTCGAACAACCATTCCTACGTGGCGGTGCAGCGTGCATTCTGTACTCACTTCGGAATTAAGCCCAGAGGTCTGGTTCCCGACTGGAAATCGGTTGCTTTGTGGGTAGAGAACTTTAGGACAACTGGGAGTGTGGTGAAAAAATCATCAGGACGACAATGGACCGTTATGACACCAGAAAATGTGGAGGCCGTTTGACAGTCAATTTTGAGATCTCCAAGATGCTCCGCTCGCAAACATGCAGTCGCCCTAGACATATCCAATCATTCAATGCACCGAATTCTTCACAAACATCTTCATTTTCATCCCTATAAGATGGTTGTTGTGCAAGAATTGTCACCACGTGATTTCCAGAACTGAATAACGGCATGTGAAACATTATTGCAGACTTTATGCCGATGCACTTGTTTTCTTTAGTGATGAGGCACATTTTCAGACATATCCGGATATGCCAACAAGCAGAATATGCGCTATTGGAGTGGTAACAATCCCAGAGAGCTCCATGAGAGGCCACTTCACAGTGATAAGGTGACAGTATGGTGTGCACTGTCAAGAGTTGGAGTTATTGACCCTTACTTTTTTTAAAAAGACAATCATGCAGTTACTGTCAATTCAAAGCGGTATGTGGACATGATTAAAAACTTTTTCGAACCAGCTCTTGAAGAAATGCATCTAGGAAATGTCTGGTTCCAACAGAATGGTGCCATGGCCCACACAGCCCAAGCTCCGATACAGTTTTGAGGGCAAAGTTCCCCGGATGGCTTATCTCGCTTCGAGGTGACATCCAGTGGGCAGCGCACTCACCTGATCTAATGCCCTGTGATTTTTTTATTGGGATACTTCAAGGCAGAGGTTTTGAAACATCACCCCACAAACCTGCTTCAGCTGAAGAATGTTATTCGGCAGGAAGTAGCCCAAATTCCGGTGCACATGATGGAATGTGCAGAGGGGAACTTCAGAAAACGGTTGCATCAGTGCATAGAGAAGGGTGGCCACCACCTTCAAGAGATTTTGTTTAAAACTACATGATTTAAAACTTTAAAGTATGTTCTTTCATTAGCTAAACATAAATTTTGTCTATCAGCAATAATTTTCCTTTTATTCACCTTCAAAATTAGGAAGTTTCTGTGCCCCACTCTGTACAAACACGGCAACGTTAAGAACTGTGAGGTTATTTCTAACACATTTAGTGTATTCAAATTCTAATTCCACAGAACTCGAAACTACCTTGAAAGCAATCCTGCTAAAAATAAATGAGTGGTTTCCACACAATTCGCTGACTACTTTGCAACAAAATTTAATCTCTTAAAAAACTTAAATATAATTATATAGTGATACTTTAATCCACAACACTTGTAATGTCAAATTTCTTGGACTAATCACTGACAGTACTTTGTCCTGGAAAGATCATATTAATCAATTAGTAATTAAGCTGAGTTCGGCTGTCTATGCCATCAAAACTTTATCTTCCGTTGTGTCCCAGGAGAGTCTACTGATGACCTATTATGCCTATGTACATTCCATTATGTCCTATGGAATTATATTTTGGGGCAATTCTGCCAACAGTAATTTAATTTTTAAAATTCAAAAAAGAACAGTTAGAATCATTATGAAAGCTAGAAAAATGAACTCAATGTATCTAAATATTCTTCCGTTTTACTCACAATATATATTTTCAATATCCATGTTTGTTGTTAAAAATATGGATACTTTCACACTAAATTCGGATATACATAATATCCATACCAGACAAAGTTCAGATTTACATAATTCAACTTATAAATTAACTAAAGTCCAAAAAGGTGTCTACTGTTCCAGGATTATGATATTTAATAATTTACCACAGAATCTTAAGAACATGACAAATGATGTTGATAAGTTTAAACATGCCTTAAAAAATTTCTCCATATTGGCTCCTTTTACTCATTGTGGGAATATCTAGATTGGAGAATAATGGAAAACCTTGCTTCTTACAAATAATTTATAATCTGATTGCTGATCTGATATGGTTTTTGCGTTGTTGATGTAATCTTCTGTCTTGATTTTTATGTAGCTTTTTGTTTTGATAAGCATGATTTATACTCCTATGTATTGTTTATCTGTAGAATTGCCCATATATGTTTCTTTTTCTGATAGGATTGTGATATGACGAGTCCTGTATCAATGTATTTTGATTTATGGGAAAATTAAATAAATAAATAAATAAATAAATAAAGAAATAAAGAAAGAAAGATAACTGGTCATAAGTGTGTAAATTTATAATGCATTTAATTCAGTTAATTTAGGTAATTTAAATGAAACTGTATTAATTTTAAGATTTTATAGTAATGTTCTTTCTAAATTATGTTTATTAATTAAAACTGTATTAAGTTTTTTATTTTTATTTTATTATCTATGTTAATTGACTACTGTATGTGATTTTATTTATGTAACTCATGTAATTTATTATATGTATCTGGACACATCTGCTGGTCACGGTAGCCGAGCGGTCTAAGGCATGCACTGTCCTCGCTCGGAAGCCAAGATTGTGGGTTCGAATCCCACTCAGGGCATGGATGTTTGTGTGTGTTTTTCTGTGTTTGTCTACAGGTAGAGGCCTTGCGACGAGCTGATCACTCGCCCTAGGAGTCCTACCGAATGTGTAAGATCTAGAAAAACCGAAGTGAGCAGCGAAGTTCATGGAGGTAGGCCTAGGCCCACTGGGGCTGTAGTGCCAAGGGAAAAAAAAATCCTGGACACATCTATTATCAAAGGGTCTAGTTCCACATCCTAGGTCTTTTACATGTATGGATATATGGAAAATAAATGAAATGAATGAATTAATTTGAAATCTATGTGTTAGAAATGAATCACTAAAATCTATGATTTTTACTTCAGAGTTCTTGCTGGCCATATAGAAGGAAAGTAGGTGTTATAGTGTTTCAGAGAAATTTTTATGACACATACCAGCTTCCAGTTTTACACATTGTAACATATTACTTTAAAGAAATACTGCCTTCCTAAACAGTAACACAATTTTAAAATGTTTCAAGAGTTGCAAACCTGTAAGTCACTGGACCAGGATTTCACATTACAGAAAGATATAACCTGTAAGAGGCGTGTCATAAAAACTTAGGAAGATTTAAATTTTGAAGTTGTTTATATATTTATGTTAACTTGGATAGGAAAGTTCTGACAGAACTTCAGCAAGAAATTTGAAACCTGCTATTAGAAATGTAAAAAGCAAATGATGAAACAGAATTTGTATTCACAAAAACCTACAAAAGAATAAGCATAGATGTACCTCAATAGGATCTATCTTCAGTTCCATATCTACTTCCTGCTCCCGTATCTTCTTCAATGTATCCATCACCATTCGTACATCATCCAGATCCCTGACTGGGCGCTCAAGTTTACGATCCATTTCATTTATTACAGCATACACATAATCCATCTCACGGCGATACTTCTTCTTCAACACCTGACCAATGCGATGGGTGCATGTTTTGATTTCTGTCAGTAGTCCAAACTTGAGACGTTCTGTGCAAATACAGCATTTCTTAAACTACTTTCCTCATTTCACAAAGATTGACAGGTTTCTAGCAACAAGTCCATGAGTCTCTCCACCCCATGCACCACTAATAAATTCTGAACCAACTAATGACACCTGGTTTAAACACCAAGCCAATAAAGGCCAAAATCAACTTTTGTACTTTTTAATTTCTAAAGATCAATTATGCCAATTTTGCAGACATGCAACCATTCTGTAATTTATTTATGGTTTATTTAATGAAGCTTTCAACAACTCAGATTGTATTGTGTGAAGTGATAGGAGAATTAATTAATAATGGATTTAGAGGATGCAGAAGGGAGCAACAGCCAAATTCTTTGAGATATAATTTTTGCTTTCGCCTGGAGAACTGGAAACCCAAGAAAAACCTCAGTCAGGACAGCGTCTCCTCATCGAGTTACACGCAACTTCTGAAATCAAAGCAATATTGGGTCCTCAAATTTTGGAGCA